TGAAAGAGGGAGAAGCAGAGAAGTCACACCCCCATCGTTAAAACCCCCCCCCCCCCCCGCATACCACTGTATGCATTCCAGAATCCCTGCACTACATCTAACAGCCGTCATGTTTTATGCTTGGCATCTAACCACAGCGGCTTATCTTCACAACATGAAGGTTAGACATTAAAAAAAAAGATTGAAAAGAAAAGATAACTTTGGGGCTACTTTCTGCACTTTCAGTTATGGCACAAGAACAGTCCTCCTTGTATGCAACACGGAAGTTGGACTGAAGCGAAGGGGGGAATCGCTTGTCTGAATGTGCTAATGGGCATCCTTGTGGACGGCTGCTTCAGCTTTCGCCATGCCTCGATAGGAAATAATAAAATGATGTTTAAATAAGGTTATAAATAGTGATACTTTAGGTATTTGCCTTCATCTATGTAAACATTTCAGAAGTGCAAATGCCACCTATGTGTCCTGGAGGATAAATTAATAATAAAAAGTACCGTAATTTTCGGAGTGTAAGATCCACCTTTTTCCCTCAAAAAGAGGCCGAAAATCTGGGTGCATCTTATACACTGAATACAGCATTTTTTGCCTCCTGAAACCCCGCCCCTTCACCAAAATGGCCATGCAGAGCCTTTAGGAGGCTTTCAGAGTGCTTCTGGGGACTGGGGAGGGCAGAAATGAGCAAATAAATGGCTGTTTTTGCTTGCTTTTGCCCCCCCCCCCAAGCCCCCAGGAGCACTCTACAAGCCTCCTAAAGGCTATGCATGCTCTTTTTTTGACAAAAAATGGCCCCATTTTTGCAAAAAAACAGGCCTTTTTTTGCTTGGTTTTGCCCCCAGCCCCCAGGAGTACTCTACAAGCCTCCTAAAGGCTATGCATGCTCTTTTTTTGACAAAAAATGGCCCCATTTTTGCAAAAAAACAGGCCTTTTTTTGCTTGGTTTTGCCCCCAGCCCCCAGGAGTACTCTACAAGCCTCCTAAAGACTATTCATGCCCTATTTTGGGGGAGAGAAAAAAACGGGCCCATTTTCACAAAAAAAGGAAGGTCTGCAGAGTGCAAAAACTTTTTTTTTAATTTGCCTCTTCAAAATCTTGGTGCATCTTATACTCCAGTGTGTCTTATACTCCGAAAAATATAGTAATCAATAATTAAGAATAAGAACATCAAATGATAGCATCACAATAGGAAGATAATTATAGTTTCAGATAGAGGACTGCTTAACAGTACCAATCAAAAGCTTCCCCATTCCCAGTTTTTCTTCACGTTATAGGGAGGAAATGGAAGAGAAATATAGGGTGTTTACTAGTGAAAATTACATTCTCATCCCCCCCCCAATAATATTGCACAAACCAGGTTAATTGCACAAGAAAAGCCTTAACTGGAAGCACCTCTATAAATATTGAAGCCAAGAGTATGGGGTCAGCCTCTGTAATAGCAGCTTGCTCTATCAATACTAGCAAGTAGTAATATTTCCTCCATGCAATGAAAAACATGTTTATGTATATCAAGATATCTTTAAAGCACAGAAGCAGGCCAGGTTATGCTAGGCTAAGGCTAGGCTTTCCCCCCACCCTGGTCAGTTGGCAATCCTATTGCATTTGGAGCTGGGTGGAAAGGACTGGTTAAAATCTAAGGATTTCTTACTTCAAGACCTACAATTTTGGGGGCCTTTCTTTAATCAGACGTTTCTGCAGGTGACATTATAAAAGTTGCTATAGAGATGGTTCTATGATGCCCAGTGGGTTCCAAAGCTTCTAGAAAAAATAACCAATATTCTGCAATTCTTGGGCCATATTACAAGTCTGTTTGGATCTGGATTGATTGACATTGTGGCAGCTATTATGACAGGCAGCTTATTAGAAAGAGAATGAGACAGAAGGGTACTAACAGGTAAGTAAAAGTAAAGGTTCCCCTCGCAAATATGTGCTACTTGTTCCCTATTCTAGGGGGCAGTGCTCATCTCCATTTCAAAGCCGAAGAGCCAGCGCTGTGTGAAGACGTCTCCATGGTCATGTGGTCGGCATGATTAAATGCCGAAGGCGCACGGAACACAGTTACCTTCTCACCAAAGGTGGTCCCTATTTTTCTACTTCAATTTTTACGTGCTTTCGGACTGCTACGTTGGCAGAAGCTGAGACAAATAATGGGAGCTCACTCCGTTATGTGGCGCTAGAGATTCAAACTGTCGAACTGCTGACATTTCTGATCGACAAGCTCAGCATCTTAAGTCACTGAGCCACTGCATTCCCCTACTAACAGGTATCTATCAACCATTGCCTCCTACTGAGCCTCCATGGCTAGAGGAAAGACACCACTAATTACCATTGCTACTAACATGAGAGCTTTGGTCTGATCCAGCAAGTTCTCATGCTGTGCTGGCCTACAAATGGAAGATAGTTAGCTTTATTCAGAAGCATCATCTTCTTTTTGCTCCAACAGGTTGGTGTCCCCAGTCCTACTCGCTTGCACTGTGAATTCCTCTCCATCCTCTGCCAATCCTTTGCTTCTCTTTCATTGTGGAGCCTACAGGGAGAAAAGGCCTGTTTAATGAGAGGCCATCCATACTTCAGCTCAAAACTGGACCAGCAGGTGGCTTTCCTGGGTTGCAACCCGTATCTCCAGTGAGATCGGATCACTTTGGTTTCTCTCAGGGCACTTTCCATCGGCACCACTCCTTGAAAGAGGAAAATGCCTTATTGCCATGGTTGACCATCAGGGATTCTGATGGTCCTTCTGAACAGCCTTGAAGTGAGGGAGACCTAGAAGGATGGATGGATTGGCTGTTTCTCTACTTTTGAAAGCATCTCACCAACATTTTCTGTGAGCAACCAATCAGCTGGTTTGAGAACGATGCATAGCTTTGTTCTCTGGGATCTTCTTTCAAAGCGTAACGGCAGCATGCATCATCAGCAGAGACGGAAATTTTTAGCAGATTCAGAAGACTGATCCCCGCAAGAGCAGCAGCATGCAGATTCTAAGGACTGACCCTCCAGAGATTGGAGAGTGCCAGGCATTTTTTTTCTCCAGACTTTTAGGAAAATTTCCATTTGGAATAAGCCACACATTACAAGATCCACTTGCTGAGAAGTCCTAATTTAGGTGTTCTTGATTGAAGGTATGAGCTGATACATATTCACAAGAGAGACACGGTCACTTAAAACACGTGGGAAGGGACGATTTCAAATGAAACTGAATATTCCTTGCAAGAAGCTTGGTTATTTTGCACGTCCATCAGCGGCTGGGTGTGCATGGCTGTGCGTGGGACAGTACATTTCTTTTTGTTTTTATCTTGCTTTGATACAATAGCTTGAAAAAATTAAATAAAATTAATAATATTAGCTTGCAAAAACTATATTAACTCCATGGTTTGACTCCTCTCACTTACGAGGAGATAAATATAAAATAGAACCAAACAGAGTTTTCGCAAAGGGAGTGCTCATGTATTTAATTCAGTCAAAAGTTTCTCAGTGCAAGATTCCGGCAGCTCCCATTCATTTCAAGGGGACTAATCATGAGAAATGTAATTGCTGGCGTCTGCTAACGGCCTTCAGATTTTCCAGAAGGATTATTTTTAAAAGCATTCCCAACATCTGATGCGAGGCTGAAAGTTCTCAATTTTACCATCGTAAAGATCGGAATTTTGTCATTTCATCTCTTGTGTACATATATTTTTGCCAATAATTTCAAGGCGGACTTGGAGAGAATATCTTGTGTTTTTGTGTATGTCTGCTTTTTTTTCCTTTTTTCTTTTTACACTTGCATCTTTTTTACAACCGGGTTAGAAAGTTGTAAAAAGTTGCTGGTACAAATTATCACAGTCTGCCTTTCAGATGAGAGTTAAGTTTCCTTTCAGTGCTGGAATATTTGCAGAATAGTTCGTCTCTGCACTCTGCAGAAAAATCACCACAATTATGATCAGTAGCCAGACGGGATGGAGAAAGGAAAAGTTCCTGCATGTTAGAAGGTTGCGGTAGCATCTTGAAACCTTTCTGAGTTTCTCATTTCTTAGAAGGGTAAGTAATTATAGAACTTTGGTTTTTAAGGCGATCATTGCAGCAATTTATGTTTGAAAAGGACCAAGTACTGGAGATGGGGTGAAATTCAGGGGGATGTAAACATTTTCTGCTTTGGAAGGATGCCAGCCAGCAGGGGCAAAAAAAAATATACTGGGGAGGGGAGGGCAATTTATGATTACTATGAATCTTCCATCTGCTGTTGGATTTTCTGCAACCTTTCCTGCAGTCTTCGTAACTGAAAGGAGAAAAAGAAACCAGGAATTTATCTGCTTCGTTTTTCTGTGCAAATTGAAGGCCCAAAGCAACTTCCAAAATAAATACCTCCCCCCAGCCTAAAGTACAAAGTTGAAAATACCAAAACACATACATTACAAAACAAATTTAACAAACTGATCTGTAAAGGGCCGTCTAAAAGAGAGATACTTAAACATGTCTTATAAAACTTACAAGGGTAGAGGTCAAATGTAGCTCTTAGAATAGTGTTTCTCAACCTTGGCAACTTGAAGATGTCTGGACTTCAACTCCCAGAATTCCCCAGCCAGCGAAGACATCTTCAAGTTGCCAAGGTTGAGAAACACTGTCTTAGAAGAAATGTATTTCACATCCACAGGTTTCACTGCTGAGAGTCAAGCAATGGGCTGTTGTCATCTTTCCCATAAAACCATGTTTCTCAAGCAACTGGAAGAGGTGCCAATTCTGCTCTCAGAATTCTGGGAGTTGAGGTCCACACCTCATAAAGTTGCCACAGCTGAAAAGCACTACCACAGATTCATATTATACAATGGCAATGTCTAGGACAGTGTTTCTCAACCTTGGCAACTTGAAGATGTCTGGACTTCAACTCCCAGAATTCCCCAGCCAGCGAATGCTGGCTGGGGAATTCTGGGAGTTGAAGTCCGGACATCTTCAAGTTGCCAAGGTTGAGAAACACTGGTCTAGGAGCCCTGGTGGCACAGTGGTTAGAGTGCAGAACTGTAGGCTACGGTTCTACCACAAAACCGCAGACGACAAAATCGTGGTCGACGAAAGCGCGTATGTGATGTCATCACAGCGCGACGAAAAAGATCGAAAAAGATCGAAAAATGTAAAAATAAAGCTAAAACCTTCCCCTAACCCCCCCAAACCTAACCCTAAACCTAATCCTAAACCTAACCCTTAACCTAACCCTAAACCTAACCCTTAACGTAACGAAAAACCTAACGCTAACCCTTAACCTAACGCTAAACGTAACGCTAACGCTCTAACCCTAACCCTAACCCTTAACCTAACCCTTACCTTTATGTGAATCGGCTTACTGTAATTTAATTTTTATATCAATTTTTCGATCTTTTTCGTCACGTTGTGATGACGTCACATACGCGATTTCGTCGACCGCGCTTTTGTGGAACGCGCTTTTGACGGGTCACGGTAGGCTACTTGTGCTGACTGCTGGCTGCTTGCAATTTGGCAGTTCAAATCTCACCAGGCTCAAGGTTTGACTCAGCCGTCCATCCTTCCGAGGTGGGTAAAATGAGGACCCCAAAATTGTTGGGGGCAATATGTTGGCTCTGTAAACCACTTAGAGGGCTGTAAAGCACTGTGAAGCGGTATATAAGTCTAAGTGCTAGTGCTAGTCCCAACCCTTAGCTTGTAATAAGACCCCCATATCATTCAATTACTTTACAGAATAATATATTATTATTATGAGCTGGCTCCTGCAATTTGGCAGTTCAAATTTCACCAGGCTCCAGGTTGACTCAGCCTTCCATCCTTCCGAGGTGGGGAAAATGAGAACTAGATTGTTGGGAGCAATAGGTTGACTCTGTAAACTGCTTAGAGCGGAGCTGTAAAGCAATATATAAATCTAAGGGCTATTATGCAAACTCAGAATACAGATTAAATCAGTAGCCAGATGAAGTGCACTGTACCTATAATGTGTTAAGTCACCAAGTTTAATGGACCTAGGAAACATTTTCCCACGTTTAGAAAAAAAAGTGGGAGGCAAAATTTTGTTGTTGCTGTTTCTATCTGGTTCGTCATCATCCTGCCGTTTATTCTTTTTAAAAATGTTTTCAATAATTAACAGGAAAAAAGAATAACAGAGTTGGAAGGGACTTTAAAAGTCTTCTAGTCCAGCCCTCAATTGGTGAACCACCCAGAGCTGCTGAAAGTTGGAAGCATATAAATGTAATTGATAATGATAGTCATAATCTCAACTCCTGGGAAAAGGACGAATGATGTCACAAAGCCTTGCTCATTCTCTCCTGGTAAAAAGACTCATGGGATACCAGCCACTTCTTAGAGCAGTGTTCTTAAGCCTCAGCAACTTTAAGTTGTGTGGACTTCAACTTCCAAAATTACCCAGCACCATATTAAAGAAGGTAGCCTAGCTTTGTTTTTGATCTAATTATGAAGATCAGACGTGGTATTCAGCCGGTTCGGACCGGTTCACCCAAACCACTAGCAGTGAAATGCAGGTGGGCCCGCCCCACCCAGGCTCTAAAACGTCCTATGTAGCCTCGTTTTCGATGCCGTGCGCATATGTGCACCCCATGCATGTGAGCAAAGCGCATGCATGGAAAGCAGCATGCATGCATGGAAGGCATGGGCACAATGCAAACATGTGCGCGGCCATGCTCACAGTGGCGAACCAGTGGTAAACGTAAGTGAATCCCACCGATTATGATCAAGTGGTCAGAACCACCACTTTTTGCTGATAGAATTGAGTATGCTGTGGAAGCAGAAACGTGTCAACAGGTGGGATGCGCAAATGCCACTATCTCAGATCCTGAGGACACAGACAATCTCCAAGTGGCCTTAACTACTCTCTAAACATGCAAATAACTGGTTGTCTGCAAGGAATATAAATCCTTCCATTTCCCACCAACCAGCCAGAGCTGAAGCAGCTTCTTGGATGAGAAGCGAAATGTCAAAAACCAAGAAAGTTCAGCTGCCTTTGGGACAACCATGATCTGGATGACTGAGAGTCTCCAGAGACACAACGTGTGAACCTGCTGTTAAAGAAACTGGTCATCTTGATGAGTGAATCTGGCTTGTACTGAGCTAAATTGAGCAAAACCCCAATGTTGTACAATGCAGTTCTCTATACAGGTAATCCTTGAGTTACGACTACATTTGAGCCCAAAATTTATATTGCTATGTGAGATATTCGTTAAGTGAGTTTGCCGCATTTTGCGATTTTTCTTGCCACCATTGTTAAGTGAACCATTACATTTGTTAAGTTAGTGACCCGGTTGTTAAGTGAATCCGGATTCCCCATTGCCTGCTCGTCAGAAGGTCGCAAAATCTGATTACGTGACCCCAGAACACATCATAAAATATGAGCCATTTGCCAAGCATCTGAATTTTGATCGTGTGACCAGGAGGATGCTGCAACCGTGTGAAAAATGGTCATAAGTCACTTTTTTCAGTGCCGTTGTAACTTTGAACAGTCACTTAAATGAACTGTTGCAAATCGAGGACTACCTTGTATGTTTCTGAACTTTCAAGCACCAGCAATCTCCCCCCAAAACAGTACCCTGTTATTCACCTCCTCATCCTTCTCCCGGATCAGTTTCTCTGTCTCCAAGTCTGGCACCGTGGGTGTAGTTGGGATGGGGAAATCAGTCCCACTTTCTCGAGTTAGCTTGCTGTTGTTGTGGTTGTTTTTCAAAAAACAAAACCAGAAAAGAGAAAAAAGAGGAGGAAATACATTAAAATGTTCTCAGAGAAAAAGAGGCCCCCCCAAAAAATGTTTGGGTATGCAATCCCACAAGGGATCCCATTCGCTTCCCAATCAAACTGCTGTATTTGGTTTCCAGCAAACCCCCTTCTGTTACTTATTCCATGATATCATTTTACTCTGGCTTCCCCCAGCTCTTTGAGGTCACCTTGCAAAGGCACTTAGTAGTTTCACATTTATTTCTACAAAAACCTCCTAATGGCAAGAGTGGTTTGATGGTGGAACCAAATCGAGAGATGAAGCAGAAGAGAGGCTGGATAGTTTTAAGTCTGGGATCTCTTGTAGGGATCCACCTAGAAAACAGGTCGAAGACAGGACTTTTAGGCTAATGGCCCTTTCCAAATCAGTTTTAACAATCAAGCAGAATAGAGCTGGAAGGGAACTTGGAGGTCTTCTAGTCCAACCCCTGGCTCAAGCAGGAGACCCTATTCCATTTCAGACAAGTGGCTATCTAGTCTTTTCTTAAAAACCTCCAGTGATGAAGCACACACAACTTCTGAAGGCAAGCTGTTCCACAGGTCCTCACTGTTAGGAAGTTTTGCCTTAATTCCAGGTTGCTTCTTTCCTTGCTTAGTTTCCCTCCATTGTTCCTTGTCTTGCCTTCTGGTGCTTTGGAAAATAAGTTGACCCCTTCTTCTTTGTGGCAACCCCTCAAATACTGGAATGCTGCTACCATGTCACCCCTAGTCCTTCTTTTCTCTAGATTGCCATACTCAATTCAGGTATGAAATCCTCTTATCTTTGCTACTGGTTTGGTAGCGGGATCACTCTCTCTCTCACACGCAGCATACCTGGGTATGCGCAGAACCTTCTGCGCATGTGCAGAGCATGCATGATGACATCAGGTTGGGTGGGTGGAACCTCACACTTCTGCCACTACCAGTTTGTCCGAACCAGTGCGAACTGGCAGAATACCACCTCCGACCCAATTTCTGCAACTGTTTATGTTTTTGTCTCCAGGTCTTTAATCATCTTATTTGCTCTTCTTTGCACTTTTCCCAAAGTCTCAACATCTTTTTTGTAATATTGTGACCAACATACTAAGCCAGTGATGGCTAATTTTTTTGCCACTGCAATGCCAAAGGCAGGGGGGGGTCTGCGCGCGCGCACACACACACACACACACACACACACATTGTTTTTGGCACGTGATAGCATGGTGGACCTGTTTTTTGCCCTCCCCAGAAGCTTTCTAGGAGCCTGGGGAAGGTGAAAACGCCCTCCCCCTACAGGCCCTTCGGAGGCCGGAAACAGCCCATTTTCTGACTTCCGGGTTGCCTGTAGGACCCTTTTTCATCCTCCAGAGGCTTCAGGGAAACCTCCCGAAGCCTCCGGAGCACGAGAAACGGCCCTACAGGTAACCCGGAAGTCCGTTCCCAAACTTCCGGTGTGTTGGGTTGTTTTTCGCCCTCCAGAGGCTTCAGGAAAGCCTCTGGAGGGCAAAAAATGGCCGAAAATGAAGGCCGAAATCAGCTGCCCTAAGAAATGGCTCTGCGTGCCACATAAGTTCATTATCATGGTACTAAGCTATACACTATGGGACTATCAACTAGAAGAGCAGCACAAAGCTAGCAAAATGCACGATGCGTTTAATTTATTGCCCAAACCAAGCTACAATGACTTGTTCAATAAATCACGATTAAAATAAACATACCTTAGTGTCATGTGCACTCTGTCTAAGACCCAGAGCATTTAACTTGAAGAACAAATGATCTGTTTCAATTAACTTTGAAGGAATTCCTGAAATTGCAATAGGGATTTTGCTTAAGAAGAAGGGATCAGCTTCAGAAATGGAAGGGATGGGCTTCAATTTCAATGTTGCCTCTTCAAGGGATTTCTCTTTTTAACAGCAACTTTGGATGCTCATTTATGTTCACCAGAAGTACACTAATCCAGACAAGGTAGAGATAAAGAAACTCTCTGCTTTGACTTTGGAGGGACAATGTTACTTCTTCATGTTTTATGACTGATCTCCCATCCCACTTTATCCCACCCCATGTACAACAGCTTTGATTGAACACAACATGTGTACTGTCATGGTAGCCTTTAAGTGGTGATAGTTCCTAATACATGCACTGTGTGGCATTGGTGTTAACACCATTTGAGGTCTATGTGTTCCCACCCTTGAATCATAACCCAATGCAGAACACATACATCGCCTACAGAAAGACTTGGATTCTGTTCTGGAATCTCCGCTAGAAAGGGATGGAGGAAAAACCTGCTCTCTGTCAAAGATCATGGAGAACTGCTACCAAAGGAGACAAAGCTGGACTTCATCTGGAATGGAGTGACGTCATCCTGAAATTCAACTTTGTGAACTAACCTTCCGATGGGCTGGGACCAAAAAAGACTAGGCAACTACCTGGAGCCTGAGACTTTTTTTGAAGGACTTGGTTTGGTAAGTCATGACTAACTCGTCTTCTCTGTTATCATTTCACAGATCAGGAGATCATTATGGAAAGTAGATTACAGACTGCAAATTGAAAAAAACAACCTAATGATTATACTGAACTGAGACTGTGGATTCAAAGCTGAAGTATAGAGCCGAGACAGCGCAGTGGTTAGAGTGCAGTACTGCAGGTACTTCAGCTGACTGCTAGCTGCAGTTCGGCAGTTCAAATCTCACCGTCTCAAGGTTGACTCAGCATTCTATCCTTCCGAGGTGTGTAAAATGAGGACCCAGATTTTTGGGGGCAATATGTTGACTCTGTAAACCGCTTAGAGAGGGTTGTAAAAGCACTATGAAGCGGTATATGTCTAAGTGCTATTGCTATTGCTTTCCCAATTAATATAGGGATCTCTTCTTTCCCTCTAAACAGGATGACAAGCAGAACAGGGGAATGGAAATCTGCAGCTTAAATTAACCAAGTGAAGGCAGGGCAGGGAAGAAGTTTCCCTCTAACACCCCCTCCCCCCCACACACACTTCCAGATTTTCCCTTTGCTTAGTGGATTGTTCCGTGTCCTAATTCAGGCACCCTGGACCAAAATCTGCCAGTGGTGGAACCACAGTTGAAAAGCCAGAGAGATGGAAGCAAAGCCTCTGAAACCACTGATTCTCAGTCCTCTTCTCCAATAGGGGTTGCCAAGAAAATAATCCTCTTTCCCAGGTAGAGAGAAAAAAAAGGGATGCGAAAGTATGTGTCTCAGAGGGTTATTGTTGGGTGGGTTGAAATGTGCAAAAAAGACTTGCAAGTGCTGAATGCTTATATGGTCACAAGGAGTTGAAAACAATTTGGTGGCACATAATGACTTCCTCAAAAATACAATACAAGTATAGACTACTTTCCATTTATGGAGGACAAAAATCACAGTAAATATGGGGAAAATCCTGAATAAGAATCAGGATCCAATAAAAAGGAGGACAGTTTCTTCCAAGTTCTCTATACCAGTGTTTTTCAATCTCAGCAATTTTAAGATGTGTGTAGTTCAACTCCCAGAAATCCTCAGCCAAGGCTCCCAGAGAATTCTGGGAGTTGGTCCATTAATCCTGAAGTTGCTGGGGTTGAGAAACACTGCTCTACTATGCACCATTTCTCCCACAATTACATACTGTCTAATTTGCTTTGTTCAGAAAACAGAAACTTTCAGTCAGAGCTGCTGAGAAAATAATTCATGTCTAACAGACATGGATGTATAATATACAGGGCTGTCCCCAAGTAGTTTGAGAAGTCTAACAGCTGCCAATACTTACCACAAGGAGAGAACAACCTGCCTTGCAGTTCAACACAGACAAACCAGGGGTGAAATGCTCTGAAGTTTGCTACCGGTTCGCTTTGCACGCATGCACGCCAAACAAGCGCTTCACGCGCATGCACACCGCAGGCACTAAGAAGCCTTTTCTGAGCCTGCAAAGTTAAGTAGAAGAGCAGGAGGGGAGGGGGGGAACAGTTGTGCCATGCGATTCGCTAGAAAGCAGCGAATATAAATCATGCGGCACAGCTGATGTTTACACAGCTGATCATCGGAACTTTTTAAACAACTTTTTTAAAGCATTTTTTTTACTACCAGCTGTGTGACAATTAGCTGTGCCGCACGATCATTGAAACTTTTTTAAAAACGTTTTTTTAGCATTTTTTAACTACCAGTTCTCCTGAACCGGTAGTTAAAAAATGCTTTAAAAAAGTTTTTTTTTAAAGTTCCAACGATCAGCTGTGTGACAATCAGCTGTGCCGCGTGATTGTCGGAACTTTTTGTTTACTTTTACCGAACCGGTAGCATTTCACCCCAACACAAACCAATGCAAAAATAACAGCAGCACATAATAAATTTCTTGAATGTGCTACCTCCTCGGAATCCTTACTAAGGTTTCTTTTTTCTTCTTTTTCTATACTTGCATTCCTTTCCACCCAATCATATTGCCCTTTGCTTTCTCACTAAGTCCCTTCCAGCATGCAGAGTGCAAACTGCAGCAGTGGAAGAGTTACAGAGGATCATCAGGTTAGTGCAGTCAACAGGTTAAGCCCCCAGATACTTAGTACTAACTCAAGGACCACCCAAGCAGATTAGCACATTTCATTAAAAGGCATAAAATGTAGGATTTAAAGGTCCCTGTAATCTGTCTCACATGTAATCTGCATAATCAACCTGTTTTATTCTCCTTCCTCGACTTTAATCCCAATTTAAATCCTCCATCTTTCAAGCCACTCAATGCATCTGGTGAAATCAGATACAAGTCACAAAAGCTTATAGGTTTTAATAATATGTATTAGTCAGAAAAGAGACCATCAGATTTTCTTCTGATGCTTTGCCAATATAGACTAAACCAGAGTTCCATCTTATAATTACTAAGATTGAAAACACTGGACTAACCTACCTCTCCTCCAATGGCTACAGCGGAATATCCAGGGATTATTATTACTCAATTATTTTGTAAGCTAAAACAATGCCCCACGCTTATTTCTTAACTGTGCACCTGGCACATTGAGAAACATTCTGGTTTCTCAGGCTAAAACATGGATTTTATGAATCAAATGAAACATCTTTTCCAGTTGGCCACTGCTGGCCAGAGAGGAATAGTGGCGAAAGGAGTAAGAGATGCAGTAAGACTTTAAAGGTAAACTCTGTGGAAGAACAGCATCAATGAGTTAGCAGGACAGATTTCAAGGAAGTATGAGAAAACAAGCAAGATCTGGGGGAAACTGAACAACAGAAAAGATGAGTTAAGAGAAACAGAATCTCAGGAAAGTTTTGTTCAAGACCATCCTTGATAAGTCAGCAAGATGGTGAGCTGAAGGAAGTCAAGGGGCTACAGGGTATTCTATTTTGTCATGATTTTGATTTTCCTAGCCATACTGTAGAACACCTCCCCTTTTTTTATAACCAGCATATCCCATGGCTGTGTCAACTGGGAAAAATGAGAACATTTCTGAAAGTTATCAGATTTGGGGAGAAATGGGAAAAGTTAAGCAACCAGACTCAAGTATGTTTCTCCTTATAGGACAATTCACTGAAAACCTCAAGGTCCAATAAAAGCTGTTTTTCTCTGCGTTCACTTTGGTGAGTTTTCTTCCTGATGCCAACTTGGACATCCCACTCCCCTGGCTCAGCTGATAAAGGGAGGAGAACTTGTGGCTTAGAGGTTAATACAACTGCCTAATATGTAAGCAGCCCAAGTTCGAATCCTAGCAAGGGTATGGCTAGCTGATGAGAGCAAAATAACTTGAAACAGATCTATACTAGTCTCCCTTCATTTCTTTATCAGCAAATATATATATATATATATATATATATTGAATTGCCTATCTACAAATATCTCTCTTAACACAAAATTGCACAAACCAGGAAAATGGATTTCAGTGTACATAATTTATTCTGTTTGCAACAAAGTGCTTATCCATCTGTTGTTATAATAAATACCTGCCTAAATCATCATTTTAAAAAAAATCTGTGAATTTAAGCCAGCATTAATTTTCCTTGATGAACTGCCTCCATCAGTCTCTGATTCCACCTGAGAATTTTTAAGGCCGCTTTGCCTGCCTTTCCTCCTCATACCTGTTGGAGAGGAGGTTACAACAAGGTTACTGAATGTGGGGGTCCCCACCTTTCACATCTCCTTCATCCTTCTCAGCTGCGCCATCTGCCCAGCTCCCCTCCTCCCCAGTTCCACCTCCTCCTCCTTCCCAGCGCCCCCTAACTTACTTGCGATTCCGCTCCTTCACCACCATGCGAGTCATGCTCTGAATGCACTGAGCCCGGTAGTTTTCATAGTGGGTCTCCCGAGTCACATCCTTCAGGTCCTGCATATGGGTCCTTACCAGCATGGTGCGCAGCTTGACAAAGTCACAATGCATTGGGTTCTCCACTGGCAAAAGAATGCAGAGCTGAGTGAGCGCAATTCAAGACCGCGTAGCGCAGTGACAGTCTCTAGCTCAACAATCTCACAACTGGAAACAAATCCACGGGAAATGAAAAGCCTATTGATGGCTTTTAGCAACTAGAGTGAAATGGAGCCTGTCTGGGGAATCGCTGAATGTCCCGACTGGCAGGCAAAACATGAAGGAAAAGCTTATCGTTTCCTATTTTGCTTGCAGCCTTTTGGTTCCTCTGGCATTCTTAGGAGTCTGCACCCCAGAGGGACCTGGCCAGTTCAAGATAAGACTCAACAGTATGCAACTCCCACCCACATATTGGGAGGAAATACTTTCTGATGTATACACACACTGATCAGCTTCAAGTAATTTTGTTTGGATCTGTTGATGCCCTCTCTTCCATTTTTCTTTATTACAAAAATGCAAAGGAAATGTAGCTCCGTATCACAAACATTGCAGTTGTTTTAGTTTTCCTAAAGTTGATTTCCCAAAGGTCCCTCTCTCTATGCTGCCAGTGGGGGTTGTGGACAGGCCCTCCTCTGTAATAAACTGCAGAACATTTTAAAGCAGCTGTTAGATTCACCACCTTAATTAATCACCATTTTCCGTAGTTTAGCTGTTTTGAGTGGTCTCATCTATAGTATTATTATCAAGAAGGATTATATATTTTCTCAATCTCTCATAGAATCTTAGAAAAACAGAGTTGGTAGGGGCCTTGGAGGTCCTCTAGTCCAACCCCCTGCTTAGGCAGGAAACCCCCTGCTTAGGCAGGAAACTCTATACCATTTTAGACAAATGCTTGTCCAATTTCTCTCTCCCTCCCTCCCTCTCCCCCCCCCTTTCCCTATTTACCTACCTTTTGGCTTTCCCAAGCAATGTTTCACTCCAATTCATTTTTAGGCATACAACAAATCTTGAAATTCAGCATACTTCAAACACAAGCTTTGAAACTGGGTTTTTCAAGTCCAACAGGGACAAAGGGATAGGATGGCACCAGGGTTGGCTCTACTCTGAAACAGACTGAAGCAGCCACCTCAGACAGCAGGTGCCAGGACACAGCAGAGAGGAAAGGTTGTTTGCTGCACAGCCTGTGTTGTCTCTAAACTTGCTTTTTGCCTTCAGTGCACTAAAGGAGGCAATCTCAACTATAACACAGAAGAACGACTCAGCAACCCGTCCATTGGCTTTTGGATGGGATAGGGGAGATGCGGTCTTGTTCTTTGTCTCCCGCATCTACACTGGGGACCTCTGCAGGGGTGATTTTTAAAAAAAGGCCAAGAAGGGCACAACTACATAACTGAAGCCCCATTGTTCTGTCAAGTGCATGCAAAAAAAGGCATCTGGCTTTGGATAGTTGTGCCCACCGTCTTGACTTTTTTGTGGGAATGCCCCTATAATAAACCATTGGGATTGCTGAGAGGTGGCATCTTGTCAACGTTCTCCATCATCCCTATCTCCTGATTTTTCCAACAAGATATGGAGCAAAACTACCGTGCTGAGGCCATGCTTCCCACAAAATGACTAATTTAATGCTTGGGGACAGGAAGCTTTTATTGATTTTTACAGCCAAAGCTAAGACATTAAGCTGCCAAAGTCAATATTTTGTATTTCCATCCCACAAGAGCATTGGTAATTGGATGTTAATTCAAACTAGGGGAGCATGGAACATTTTTTGCTGAATTCGGTATTGAATCAATGTCGACCCATTAGCTGCAGCCCCCAGTTTATTGAGCCACTATAGGTTACCTTCAACAATTCCCCAAGGATACAGCCTCCCCCGGATTCGTCTGCCTTTCGTCTCCACAATGGTGTTACTGCCAATCACGGCGAAGGGGATGCTGTCCTGCAGAAGGACAGTGGCAATTAGGAGTCAAATAGGATGGCAGAAGCCTCCCCCAATCTTTGCTACTTCACATATATTTAGTGACGAAAGAGAGAGCATTTCTCAAAAAGATTCAAGGAACTGCATCATGGACTTGCACCAATTGCACTACTGAATTAGGCAGCGAAGTAAGAGATGGTGGGATTCTGAGGGCATCAAAAAAAGAAAAAGGCTTGGAAAAGAGATGATCCCTGTTGTACAGCAAATGACTACAGTGCACAAGTGCTTTGCATTCCACCCATTTCCTTTCGTTTGTTTAAATGAAGGGGATTCTGCTTTTTAAGTTATTCAGGCCAGGCATCAAAAACAGGAAAATTTAATAATCGTTAAATTTTATTAGTTAAATTGATATGCTGCCCATCTCACTGTGTGGCTACTCTGGGTGGCCTACAACAATAAAACAGAAAAAAGTTATAAAGATGACCTGTGGATTCCAAACTGAGGACCCATGTTTATAAGGACGGCAGCAGTTTTAAACAAGGCTGTCTCCCAGCCCGTTCTCGGTCTCCAGATGAATAAGATTGCAATGTCCCAGGCTGACATTCTGCAGTCCAAACACATCTGGAGGACACCAGGTTAGGGAAAGCTGTATTAAATCAAAAGCATAAGAGTCTGGGATGGGAGAAGGCTGAAAAGAAATATTTTCTTAGGCTAAGAGTTTAATCCAAGCCTAGCTGCCTCTCTTTAGTATGGCTTAACTGGAATTAGAGATACATGCCTGGCTTGGAACACTTGCCTTAATTTAAAAAAGGCAAGCAAATATGAAACATATTGTTTTCAGATATTAGGAAAAGCTCCTTTACAGTCAAAGCATCAGCACATGTGGAATATCACTGGGGGAAACTTAGGCTTTCTTCTGAATTTGTTCTAATCCAATCAGGTACATCTAGCCCAGTGGTTCCCAATGTGGGGCCCACGCCCCACGGGGGGGGGAGAGCAATTTGCTTTTTAATGGGGGCAATTTGAACCTTGTTTGAACCAAACAAGGCCTTTTAGGATTCCTCCATTTGAGTAGAGTTCATTTTTTGAGTAAAGTAAGAATTATATGTCATGGGGGGGGGGAGCATCAGGATTTTAGAGATGCTATGGGGGGGCATCGCCAAAAAAAGGTTGGGAACCACTGATGTAGTGGATCCGAATGTCCACTGTTGGTGGTCCCTCACTTTGAGTGCTTCGTCCTGCTGCTTGAATTCATCATCTTCGTCTGAATCACAATCAGGAAACTGATAGATCCGGATCCCAAAATGATCAATTTCGTCACGAATCTAAAACAGAGGAACATGCCAGCAGCCAATGAAATTCAATCATAATTTTGGTTCCTTATATAACCAAGCGTTGCCCAGGTATTTATTTATAGTGGGAAAACATCCAGACCAAACGTAATTTCTAATGTTGGATTTCCCCCCTGACCAGAGGGAGCCTCCTTGTGGAGTACTGTGAAACTGTTACCATGGCAACTCCACTGAGCTGTACAGTAGAAGTCATTTAACAGCAGTACAATAAAAGCCATGTTAAGGCACAACAGGCTGCATCTTAACAGAACACACACCCCGAGCAACCTGCATGAACATGGGCACCCAATGCCACTCCAAGAATTCTTCAAGAGTCAATCAGGATCTTCCAGAAAGCTTACAGGGGAGTGAAGAACTCAGCGTTTAATCAGCATCACACCTCCAATTCCTCACCCGACTTTCTCATAAAATGCATGTGGCCACTTTGAGGGACAGACTGAAAGCCATCTGTATGCTCATTTTAAAACGAGTACAGATTTCACAACGTCACAGAGTCCGGATATTGGGGAGGGGGAAGGTTGGAGAGGAAGGGAAGGCTGAGCAGGACAAAGTCAGTGTGAGGAAGAGGGGATGTAACAAAAGCATTAGACGTTCATATGGCTCCATGTGGCCTACATTTAGCTCAGCATTTAAAATCTGAATTACAGCAGGTTGTGCATCTATACACAGGTAGCTCTGGCGTTCGTTACAACCACTCATTTAAAGTTATGATGGTGCTGAAAAAAGTGACTTGCAACTGGCACTCACACAACCAGTGTCCCCACAGTCATATGATCATGATTCAGGCACTTGGCAACCATCATGCATGTATGATTGTTGCAGTATCCTACGATCATGTAATCTTCCCAGCCAGCTTCTGATAAAGGAAGTCAATGCAGAAGCCAGAAGGGAAGATTGCAAGTTGTGGTCACATGATGTCTCAGTTAACAACTGCAATACAGTAAACTGTATTGTGGTCATAAATCGAGGACTATCAGTACTTAATACTTTTATTCTTCAGAAACAGTTTCAAAATCTTGGACATTTCCTTTTCTGTTTTCCTTTTTCAATTAGTTTTGATTAGGTTACTCTATTTATCTCAATGTTGTGTTTTTTACATTGTACATGGAACTTTGAACTTTAACTTTAATAAAATTTGTATGCCGCCCACTCCCTTGGGACTCCAGGCGGCTCACAACAAGTAAAAACATTTAAAATATTTAAAAATACAATGTTAAAAATTAATACAACATTCATTCCATCAGATGGGGCTGAAAATTAATCAACAGCCCCAGGCCTGCCGGAACAGCCNTTTTTTTTTTTTTTTAACAATTAACCACTATGCAGTTGTGCCACCTGAATATCCTCGCTACTTAATTCATCATCCACAAATTCCAGACAGGAAAGGTAAGAATCATGGAGCCTCTTTTGATCCGTAAATAATATACGCACATTATCATTTGCAGTACTGGGAAAATAAAGGATAGTTCAAGAAGAGTCATATGCTAGGGACAAGAACCCAGACTGGGGGAAGAGGGAGTAAACTGAGGTTTGCAGAGGAAAATCAAGGGTCAATTCCATCGTGTATGCAAAATTCTTACTCTGTGCTCCTGAGGGATGCTGGCAGGCTCTTCAGCCTGCCCAAAGTGGCTGGGACTGGCACCCTCTTTCAGGGCACCAGCAAAAGGCATCTCTGCTTCACTGGGCTGCATCTCCTTGGAGTCTTCCATGACAGCTATGGTTCCTTCTACCTCCTCTCCCTGAGTCGAGAGGATTGGGCAGGGCAGGTGTTAGAATGAGGAGTGAAAGGAGCAAAAGACAGATAAAGCAAAGAGAAAAGCGCAGAAGAAGTCCACAAAGGCTCTGGCCTCAAACCTACATGCTCAGAAGTCAAAGCATATTTGCCAGTAATGTTTACGCGATTCCCTACTACAACAAAGATGCTTTTGTCCATAGTCATATATGTGGGTGATGTGTGTGCATCAGAGCAATCATTTAAATCAGGGGTGTCAAACTCTAGGCCTTGGGGGCCAGATCTGGCTTGGGGGATACCTAGATCTGGCCCACGCGGCCACCCTGGAAACAGTGAAGGACTGGCCTGCGGTGCTCCAGCCAGTGAAAATAGGCTCCTGAGTTCCATTTTCAGCTGCCATGGCCTCCTGCAACCCATTGCCAGTGAAAACGGAGCTTGGGAAGGCTGTACCTGTCCCTTCCAAGCTCCGTTTTCCCTGTCAGAGGGTTGCAGGAGGCCGTGGCAGCTGAAAACGGAACTGGGGAGTCCATTTTTGCCTGGCAGAGTGCTCGGGCCAACACAGGCATCCCTGACACAAATGACATCAAGTTGACTACACCTACCCTGGCGACACCCACTCCAGTTCCCTGAGGTCAAATGCAACCTGATGCAGCCTTCAATGAAATCGAGTTTGACACCCCTGATTTAAATAATTAGGCAAATAGCTTCCTTGCACCTAAAATGAAAAGTGTAATATATCTGTCAGGATTGACAATATCCATTTCTCAACATAATCCTTGACTTCCAACCATAAATTTAGTAACCTTCAAAGTTACAACAGCACTGGAAAAAAGTGACTTATGACCATTTTTCACACTTGTCAAAAGGTCGCAAAAGGTGACCCCAGGATTTAGTGCCACTGTAACAGTTACTAAACAAAACCTCTTCTGTAGGTGTGGCCCGCTTTGCGGGAGTGGCTTGCTGGCCATGTGACTGGGTGGGAGTGGCTTGGCAGCCATGTGACNGGGCCCATTTTCACGAAAAACCGGTCGTTTTTGGAAAGTCTGCAGAGTGCAAAAACTTTTTTTTAAATTTGCCTCTTCAAAATCTTGGTGCATCTTACATGCCGAAAAAAATACGGTACTTCTAGAAGAAGCTTATTCCATGACACAAGCAAAATACTGCCATCAATAGGGATGAAGGAATCCAGGTTGAGTATTCCTGTACATTCAAGCATCCTAGGTCCAGTTCTACAAAAGGGAGATTCTCAAGGGGCTGGAAAGATGGAAGGTTCTGACAGAAATGCTGTAGAGATCCTTTACCTCATCTGAGTCATATGGGTCAAGCCTGCCCCAGGGGCTTCTGGGGCGGGATGGACTTGGTGGTGCTGGAGCAGCCATGTGTTGCGGTATCAAGTCTAGAGGGTGAGGGCGGTAGAAGGCCTTCTGCTCCTTTTCCTCCAAAGCATCTTTGGGAATGGCCTGGACTGCAGCACTAGGGAACATTTCAGTCCCACCTAGACTGGGTCTTTTCTCCTGAGGGATGGCTTCTGGCTTCACCCGATGGAAGGCCTTCTCTGTTGGGGAATCGTTAAGGAACTGGACCAGCTCAGCTTCTTCTGAGTCTTCCTTCAGAAAGTGCTTTATCTGGGCAGGAGAGGGTTTGGGGGAGAACAAAAAACAGAAAGCAATACTCATGTGAAGAGATGGACCTGAGTGTCCTATCCTTTCAGCTACCTTTCCATCCTGTTATTCGCAGGTCTTCATTCATGGTGTAGTATTGATTTCTTTTTTTAAAGTAAATTTTATTCATAGACACTTCTCTGAAAAACAGTGCATTGTCAAGGTATACCATTTACAAATGAAAATGTTACCCCCCCACCAAAAAAAGTGGTGTTAAACATTGACATTATACCGTGTTTCCCCGAAATTACGAGATGTCCTGATAATAAGGCCATGCCACATTTTTCTGCGACAGTGCAACGCAGCCATTTGCCTAAGATGTTGTGCCCGGTTCTTTGGGAGCCCGCTCGCAAGAGAGCAGCTGCCCGGCAACCCCAAAACAATAANCTTTAAATAAAAAAAATCAGTGGCAATTTGCATAGCAAGTTTGTATACCGTGTTTTTCGGAGTATAAGATACACCTTTTTCCCTCAAAAAAAAAAGAGGGTGAAAATCTGTGTGCATCTTATACATTGAATACAGCATTTTTGGCCTCCTGAAACCCCGCCCCCTTTGCAAAAATGGCCGTGCATAGCCTTTAGGAGGCTTATAGAGTGCTTCTGGGGGCTAAGGAGGGCAGAAATGAGTGAGAAACAGGCTTTTTGCTCATTTTTGCCCCTCCCCCAGCCTCCAGGACCACTCTATAAGTCTCCTAAAGGCTATGCATGCCCTCTTTTTGGCAAAAAACGGGCCGTTTTGGGGAGATCTGCAGAGTGCAAAAACTTTTTTTTTAATTTGCCTCTTCAAAATCTTGGTGTGTTTTATACACTAGTGTGTCTTATACTCCGAAAAATACGATAGTTAAAGCTAATCTTCCTATTTCTAGCTCTTTGGCATCTGCAGCTTAGACTATCCATCAGTTCACAACGAATACTAAGAAATCGAACTTTACAATCCAATCCAATAAAAATACTGTGGAATTATTTCTAAGATCTGATCTCATAGATTTAATGCAACAGAAAGTATTTTCCTCACCCTTTAGACTTTTATACACACATTATCTAAACATAAGGCAAATGAAATTTAGTTTTAATTATAGTTCTCTGCCATGAATAATGTGCTTTTAATCTGCAACAATTATATACTGTCTCCTGAAACAGCCCTTGTAATTTCAGCATTGATACCTGCAACCATTAGTGTGAAATCAAATCCTTTTTTCACAGATTTCCGATGGACCTGATTAGGAAGTGTTGCAAATCCCACATATTCTTTACTGTCCTAAGAGAGAGGAAAAAGAAGAGAGAAAGGGGGGGGGGGGAGAAGCAGTATTACAAATTGCCAGGCCTTTTTTGCAAGAATCATTTGTCTGAAACAGGTTTTTAAAAGTTATTCACAGAATAAATTTAACTTGGTTACAGAATTAATCTATTGCCGAGTTCGCATAATGCACTAATAATATTAATTAAATAGGCTTAGTTTCTACACCACAAATAAACTTTTGAAAAGTAACTAAACTTCACATGTTAAGCAAATTGATTTGATTAAACACACTGCGTAAATACAATAGTTGTATCACTGGAGGGAAACATTCTTTATCAAAGTATTTTTATGAATGACATAAATCTTCTATGCAAGGAAATGGACCACTGTGCCTCTATACACCCAGTGTTCATGTCAGTGAGTCATCAACTTGTCAATTAAATAGCCTTTGTTTTATTTTTGTGCTTTCTCCAACATGGGAGTGTTAATACCACTTTATAATGCCTTGGTAAGGCCGCACTTGGAATACTGCATTCAGTTTTGGTCACCACGATGTAGAAAAGATGTGGAGACTCNAAGTAAAAACATTTAAAATATTTAAAAATACAATGTTAAAAATTAATACAACATTCATTCCATCAGATGGGGCTGAAAATTAATCAACAGCCCCAGGCCTGCCGGAACAGCCAGGTCTTGGTCGCTTTACGGAAGGCCGGGAGAGTGGTGAGGGTCCGTGAGAGAGAAGTGAGAAAAGTGCCCCCAAGTTTGTTCCGATCTCCTCTTTTACCTTGCACTTCATTCGTTCCACCTCAGAGGGCATGAGAGTGTCAGCCTTGGCCAAGACAGGAACAATGTTCACACGCTGATGGAGCGCTCTCATGAATTCAACATCCAGAGGTCGCAAACTGCCAAGAGCAGACAAGAGTTCGCCATATGCAGAATAAGTATATACATAATTTTGTATTTATTTATTTAGTCATGTTCATATCATGTACATTGGACAGCTGTATGCAACGGAATTTCATTTTAATGGATGCCGATTAGTGTACCTTCAAAATGACAATAAAGTTATTGCTCTGTTCTGTTCTACTTTTATTCTATTCCTGGGAGCTGTGGAAAGAGATTGTTTCTTTTTTGGCCAATAAGCAAAAAAGTGGGAGTGCCTGACATGTGCTAGAATCTGTAGCAATTATTTGGTGGCAATCAATGATACTCCACAAAAATAACAAAGGTACTTCAATTAATTATATAAGGATACGTTAAAAAGAAAGACAGTATTGGCAGATGTAGCGAATCCTGACTGAAAAAAATCTGTATTTTTGGCAAAGATACAACACCCTTATTTCATGTAGTAACATCTGCAGAACAAATGATTCTCCAATTTCCCATAGGAGATAACCCTAAAAGGAGAAGTATGGCCTTCCATTCAAACTGTTTAAGCATCATATCACTTGAATCACACATTTTAGAGTTACTTATATTGAAAGTGTGTGTTGTTTTCCAATTACTTTAACCCCTCGTGGAATCTTTCCCAATTACTTTAACCCCTCATGGATAGACATCTTTATCCTAGATCCTGCTTGGGTCTATCTGAAGGATTTCAAGAATTTGAACTCTATGGGGAGCAAGGACCCCATCAGAGAATTCTTCTCCTTTAACCCCAATGTCCAGCATCCTGTGAGGAAAGATATGCCATGATGTAAAATCAATATAGCATTTTGTCCCAGATAAGCTGAGAATTTTAAGTGCTAAAATGCATCCAAAAATCAGTTTCTGTTTATCCATGGATGGGCTTATCTTCAAGTATATACAATAATGCTGTACTTTTAAAAAAGTACCCATATTTCCCATATATCTATTTATAGATAAGCCCATCCGAAGACAAGTAGGCCCTCAAATTTGTAACCAAAATACTATGAAAAATACAGGCCAGCTTATCCACAGGAGGTGTGTTTTTCATAGTAATTTGTTTAAAAATTCAATGAGTTGCTTATCTTTGGATTGGCTTCTATGTGAATAGATACGACATTATAGGTTTATAGGTTTTATAGGTTTATAGGTTTATTAACATTT